CTCTCCTGACACGGGCCCGAATCCGTTGAAGATCAAGTTTCCGCGGATGTCGGCGGTGTAGTTTAGGTTTCCAAACCTGACCTAACGGCCGGGGGCGTAGCTATCCATCTGCTCCAGATGGCCAAGCGAATTAGCCTGTAGTGCGAAGTTGCCGAACACGAAGATCTGTCCGGGAAGGAAAGTCTCGCCTAGGACAGCGTGGTTGAAGGTTGGAGAAGCCATCTAACCTTGCAGTGACGACACAGAGGAACTCTCAATGAAAGCACCAATGTCGGTTTCAAAACCGGCGGATCTCGGATAGGGGGTCCCGAACTATGCGTCTAAGGCTAATGGTAACATGAGACGGGGGACACGATGTTTTACCCAGGTTCGGGCCCTCTCGATGGAGGTAATACCCTACATCCTACTTGATTGATCTTGATGATATGGGTATTATAAGAATTGATCTACCACGAGATCAGAGAGGCTAAAACCTAGAAGCTAGCCTATGGTATGATTGTTGATGATGATCGTAAGTCCTACGGACTAAACCCTCCGGTTTATATAGACACCGGAGGGGGCTAGGGTTACACAGAGTCGGTTTACAGAGAAGGAGATCTACATTCGAATAGCCAAGCTTGCCTTCCACGCCAAGGAGAGTCCCATCCGGACACGGGACGAAGTCTTCTGTCTTATATCTTCATAGTCCAACAGTCCGACCAAAGTATATAGTCCGGCTGTCCGGATACCCCCTTATCCAAGACTCCCTCACCTCCCTAAACGCCTTCCCTTGTTTAGGAATATCGTTTTCATGGAAGACACACCATCAACCCAGAACATGTTCATTGATGTGAGCCACAAGGTGGTCCTTGTCTGCCAACGCTTAAAATGCGTTCTGTTAAACTTTTTCGGTTTCAGTATAGCGGCTAAGCTTGAATCAAAAAGTGTCTAAAATAAGGTTTTTGGATTGTTGGATATATTAGCATATTTTTATTAGACTAATCCACGAGTAAACAGTAAGCATGGCAATGACGGTATGCACTTACCGATACCTAAGCATGTGAGCACGTACAGTACATAGAATCAAAACATCTATGAACACAACATATATGGCTAGCAAATGAACGAGTAAACGAGGGATGGACAGATCATACCCCCCAGTTGGCCAGGCCAAGCCTCAGCACGTCTGTGGCCTTCTTCTTTGCGTCGACGTCTTCAACCATGGTGTCGATGCAGGGGAAGTAGTGGAAGCAGAGGAGGACAGAGGCTGGGACGGACCGGGAGCAGACGCGTCGAGACGCTCCATAAAAACCTTATTGGCGTTCTCCCGGGCAGGATCTCAAACGACAGGGTTCAAAGTCACCAGCTCTTCTGAACAACCGTGCACGCGGTCGTCGCGATGGAATCGCCGGAAGCAGCACAGAGAGATGAACAGTAGATGACGGCTAGGGTTGTGCAGGAGGGAGTGAGCGAGTTAGAGTTCACTCACTGGCCAACACCTTCTTATATATATGCCGTCTTGTAGATGGGCCTGGGCTCAGGCCCACGACTGAGTACTCGAACAGCCCACGGTCCACATCTTGGATAATGACACTACTATATCGACTTGTCAATTAATCCGAGATTAATTAACCATTTTTGACCGGCAAAAATAAGGCTCGGATCATTACCGCAACCCGCGGCAGCGCGCTTTCCAAGCTCCTAAAGACATGTGGTAGAGCAGCCCTCATAAAGAGGTCTCACTCTCACTCCACTAGCAGTATGATACTAAACTTTCCACCACTTGCCATGAACCTAAATGGGCCTTAGAGATTAACTAGCGATTATTGTATTATATGGGACAAAGCCATTGTCACATCCCTAGCTTCTGGTAATGCTCTGAGCTAGCTAGTCATGTGTTGCATCATGTTTAAATTTTGCCTAAAATTGAAATGGGGATGTTCAAACCCTAGCATTAAATCAACTCAACTAGGGTAAGTTAAAATCTTTTCAATAAACCCAAAAGGCCCCTAAGAAAAGTTCATGATTTCTGGTTAAGGGGGAAACCTCTGCCAAAAAATGATGAATATATCCTTAGGTCATTTTTGGATTTTTGAATTAAATCATATTGTATTTGACTTTGGGCATTTAAGTACTATAAATATTTTAAATGCTCAAATAAATGTTGGAAATTGATAAGGGTCACTGGAATAATTCAGAAAGCACCCATATTTATTTCCAGGATTTTATAAAATGATTTGATATTTAAAACAAATCAAAAACAAATTGCAGAAATAGAAAAAAATAAAACAGAACAAAAATAAGAGGGAGAAGGACATACCTGGCCTTACCCGTGCAGCCCACCAGAGCCAGCCCAGCTCCCCCACCCAGCCGGCCCAGCCCACCTCCTCCTCCTTTGTCCTCTTCCTCCTCTGCCAGGAGGACGAGCAGAGGCGAGGCGTGGCGCTCGCCGACGCTGCCCCGGCCACCTCCTGCTTCCCCC